ACTTCGGTTGCACCGAAGCTAAATACCCTTCACAGGTGCATTTATGTTAGTAACTATATGTTCAGTTTGTATGGAAGCCATATGCTATAGTTAACCGATTGGAACAATTTCTTCGGAGATTACATTGTTGCCTTAGAAAATTATCTATACCAAATTTCGTGAATATATCTTGTTAAACGKGAAWGTTTTCCATACAAKAACTTGWTTCCGATCGTKCAGTTTMTATGACAGCTATATGCTATAGTRAKCCGATCTGWACAATTTYTTCGGAGATTACATTGTTGACTTRGAAAATTATCTATAYCAAATTTCGTGAATATGTCTTGTCMAATRTGAAAGTTTTCCATACAAGAACTTGATTCCGATCGTTCAGTWTATATGGCAGCTATATKTTATAGTGGTCCGATATCKKCAGTTCCGACAAATRAGTAGCTTCTTGAAGAGAAAATGGTGTTTGCAAAATTTCAAAACGATATCTTAAAAACTGACGGACTAGTTTGTATATATACAGACAGACGGACAGACGGACATGGCTAAATCGAATCAGCTCAACATACTGATCATTTATATATATACTTTAYAGGGTCTCCGACGCTTTCTTCTGGGTGTTACAAACTTCGTGACAAAATTARTATACCCTGTTCAGGGTATAATGAAGTGAAATTAAATAAAATAAAATGAAAAAAGAACAAAAATAAAATTTWAACATGAAGTAACWTGTAGGTGTAAAATATTTATAGATTAGCGAGTATCTGCTCTTTATATTTTAAAAATTTCTACCGGGGATCTTCCATTCCTCTCCTTTTGGTTTTACTCGTATATACAGAAGACTATTGCTTTAAAAATTTCATAAAGAGAACTAAGTTGAGTTTTTCAATAAATAAACTATTATTATTTTTGTTTTTACTAACATCTTGAAAATTATCTTAWATTCTTTGMTTTAAATRWATTGYTAWKAATGTGGACACCACAACTTGCTTTSAAAAATATTAACTTTCTTTAAAAAAAAGCTAACGCATCGTCTACGAATCGGAAATTTGAATAATTCATCCTCATAAAAAAYATTATTTCAAAATTTAAAGACTTTTAGCACATTTCATGCCCACAAAAAATATTCTCCACGGAACATTTTTAGATTAAGGCATGCATAAAATGCCGCAGCTCACATAATTACCCGGAAGCGTGTCTACACATCCGACTATTCACTGGCATAAACGAATAAAGCAAAGCATTTAGCACAATTATATTTTTCGTTTCATCTCAATGCCAGTATATGATACGAATATTCACTTGCCGTTACAGCAATCCTTGTAACAATTAAATGCCTCCTTCTACACACACACAAAGTCATGTGATGGCTTTTCCATACCCGCCCTCGTGAGCTCCGGTTCTCTAGAGCAGCTAGAATGTTACAAATTGTCAACAAAATCCCACCACACGGGTCACCCAGTCGTGCAACTCATCTCCATCATTACAATAATCATCTTTGCACATATCTGCAACATGCCGCTGCTTCCCAACTCTTGCTACCACCGACTTGACTTGCCTGCATTGTCGTCTAGAAATGGCAGCATTTAGGGCAATTATTGCCAGGAAATCATTACTAATTTTATTCTCGCATTGCTGCGCCTGCATTGTTGGGCGAACAGTCGACGCCGCAGCCGACGTCGGGCGACAACGACGACTTCTCGATTGTCCTAAGAGAGGCGAGCTTATTGCTTATTGAAATTAAACCTTAAACGCCCTTATACCCCTTGAAAGCCTCAATATTCGCACTTGGTTGCGCATTGTTTAACATTTAGACAGCTTAAATGTCTTCTGCTACCTCTGCCCCACAACTAGCCAATTTTCGCTGCCTCCTAATATCTCAAGCCAAGGCTTGCAAATGCTAGTCAATTTGAAATTTTCAACTTTGCTGAACTTTGCTACACATTTTCGGTGTTTTTGCTGCTTTGACCTGCCACTGAGGTGGTGATCGCTCYGGTTTTCGGTCCTTGGCTTTATGCAAATTTGCTTACAAACAATTAATTTTCTTAATACCCCACCGCAACTGTCCTCAGGCACATTTACCGCAGACACGCCCGACCCACAGAACAAGACTTGCGTACAATGCATCAAAAGGATCTGGGCACTTAAGCAGTTATCTATTTAAGTCGWGGATGCATGCAAGTATGGGTGCTCGGCGCTGAGGAAATTGCTCTCTGTCAGCTGCATACATGTTAACGGAAATGTTTTCCATACACGCCCACTCGCAACTCAAGTTCGATAAAAGCTTATTGCTGGTTGCCGATTTGCTTGATTCTGAATATTTTAGAGTGTGCGTTAAGTYGAAAGATGTAAATAGATATATTAATTTACTATATGAGGCGTTTAAATAACATTGAGGAACCTGACTCCGAGGAATGAGGCGGAGTTAATCGTTGAAAAGAAAGAAAACTCCGAAAGCCAGGGTTATATGACTTCTTTCAGACTGTGAGCCAGACCTTTAGTATGCGTAAATATGAGTGTAAAGACGAATGCCTAGAACCACAACCTCAGCTATCATCCTAGAGATGGGCTTCTCGATCACATAAAGTCATTTAGGAAAAGGTCGGAATATGAAAGTCATTTCAAAGTCTTAAAAGCTAGATCCAAACTTCTATTCAGTAATATTACCCTGCACTCACCTGCACCAGTGCCAAAAAGTAACAAAAGTAACTAGAAAACCATCCCAAAAACCAGCTCTGCTTTCTCCGATGCTCACGCATATATGTATTTGTATGTACGTATGTACAGAACCAATTTGTTGTTGTTAAATTGGGCGCACTCGGCTTAAACACGATTGCAAATTGCATTTARTAATTGTTTGTGCGACTGAACGCAGCTCGAGCGCATGAAGGTGGSAAGAGGTTGATGGCCATTTGCTAGTCTTTCACCTTTCTGCGGAAATGTTTGTTGTTGTAGTTTCTTCGCAACTTGCCAAAAAGGATTACAGCTTCACCTCATTYATGTGTCTAAACACCTGATGTGAAAATTCTGGTGGTTGGCATTGCATGCCACTCGGTTATGACGTCCCATGCGCACTTTCTTTCCAGTGAACTTAGTTCAGGAGACGGGGTCGGTTATGCGAATGAGCTCYGGCTCTGTTGAGGTTAATATAGGGTTGTTGACTGAAGACAAGCAGAGGAGCAGCTGACTTCCGATTGGATTCTATTGTAATGCTTGCTGTGCTGTGGTCCTCCGCTGCCCCAGTTCATCTCAACAGGGCGTGAAAAGAGGGTTGAATGSTGTTGTCGGCCGGCAGTGGCCTGTCATACGAATATTCGCCCTCGAAGGCATGTTGTAGAGTAGCTGTGGACTGTTTGGGGGTTGCACTGTTGTTGCAATAAAATTCGTGAAGCCATTTACTAATGCAGTTAATGATCTAGAGTTGCTTCTTGATAAAAAAAAAGTTTACAATTTTTGCCTATTTAAATTAATCAAAATTATTTTCTTGTTTATTTTTAGGTGTGGTTTCAGAATCGTCGTGCCAAGTGGCGAAAGCGCGAAAAATTTATGAATCAGGATAAAAACGGATATTTGTTACCTGATCAAGGTTGGTATTTCTTAAAATTTTTTAAATTTTTGTCCAATTTCTCAACTCAATATCTGCTTAGCTTTCGTTCTTCTCATTAATCATAATTTTGGTTTATWATTTATTAATTTACACGACGCTAATGTTATTTTAATTACATTTTCGCTACTCATAWTAACAAATCCTATATTAATAATAATTTTTTGTACCTCACAAAATTTCTTTATTAATTCGATTAACGTTTTTTAGTGTCACACGCAAACGCATATTTTGACATCGACTAATGAACATGCTTTCGTTTCTTGCATTTCCAGGTCTGCCTGATTTTCCACTTGGCCTACCAATTCCGCACGGCATACCCGGCCATCCGGCCACCTTGCCACCCGAGTTCTGGCCACCACACTTTGCCTTACATCAACACTTCAACCCCGCGCTGTTGCCACCCAGCCTTGTTCCGCACTACAAATTGCCCAACTTCCATACCCTCCTGTCGCAATACATGGGCTTGAGCAATTTGAATGGCATCTTTGCTGCTGGCTACCCGCAGAATCTGTCGCTGCACTCRGCGGCGCAAGTGAGTCCACCATGCAGCAATAGTCCGCGTGACAGCCCACCCAGCCAGTCGCAAGCGAGCCTCGTCTCGTTGGTGCCCACCTCCATGGTGGCGGGTGGCGTTACGTTCACCTCGTCGGCTGCAGCCTCGCCCAAAAGCCCGTTGGCGCCAAGTGTGGCGAGCAGCGCCTCAACGCCCGTCTCGGTGGTGACCAAATGTGAGGACTGAACTTTGCTCTGAAGCAGCTACGGTCGTTTGGTGGCGGTGGTTACGGTTTAGTCGCAGAGCAAATGTGTGTGCGTTAATTGTTTCACGCTGAATACTCTTAAGTAGATCGGACTAAGTATTAATATGAGTGCTAAGAAATTTGATTTGTAAATAAATAAAATATCAAATAATTTATATTGAACAATAGGAGTTRGTAACTTTTACGTTTTGAGAGACGAAGGGCAAGTGATAAAGACTTGTAAGCRAAATTATGCCCATACTTATACGTACATATGTATATTTTAGTATTTATCTCCAGAGATCGAATTTATATATAAAACTAACTTTTGTAATTATTATAATATGAAACCCTTACATGTGATTGATTTCATTTAGTTTATAAACACATTACATAAGGCGACAAATTGAACAAGTWAAAAAATTATGGCAAATATTTGTCTCATTGATTTTCGGAAATATTTTGAATTAGAATCAATGAAGTAGTGATAACTTATAAAAAACATGAGCAAATGTTCAATAGAGTAAAAGTAATGTACATTAAATATTATTATAGAAAGTAATAAAGAATAAGGGTACGTAATAAAATAAAATTAAAAATTTACACAGTACTACATATTGCTGAAAATCTTTTTTTATGAAGGGGGATATGCCGGCACTGAAACTTTCAGGAACCTAAAGTTTCAAAAGGACTCTTATTTTTCGCATAATATATAGTAAGGTCTACTCACAAGGCAACACTATCCACTCGATCCTTTTGACACTTGAGTTACAACCAATGTCGTATAGAGCGGTCTACTAAAATGAGAACTTATCTTTCGTCAAAACATGTCGAAATTGCTGAGCTTTAGAGGCACTTTTTTTAATAGCCTTTTTTGACAGATCACACGTGGGTCGTGTCAATCTGTCGTGCTATTTTTGTTTGGCATTTCATCATGGAAAGAACTACGCCTGAATAGCGATAMAAATTGTTCAATTTTAATACGAAAATTCACGTTCAGTAAAGAATGTGTTTCGCRCGCCTCGCTCAACTTGTGGTCAACATAAGCGGCCTACTGAGCTACTATTCGTAACACCTAGCATTCGTTATTGYATAATATTCGACCAAAAAGACCACGTACAGCAAGCCGAAAAGAAATTATAACAGCCGTGGCTGAGGGAGCTGAGTGTACGAGAAGACGATTCGGCGTCGTTCGCTGCAACTCCGASTGACGTAAGAAACGACTTGGCGCATTTTACGTCGATATTTAGCTTGTCCAAGRACTGAAGCCGCTCAACKTGCCAMGTGACATCGCTTCGCTTCATTTGCTTTTGAAGAGTTCCAAGAATATTCGACGTTTTCGAGCTAAATTTTSTTTACGGGTGATTGTYATTTCTGGCTCAATGGGAATGTACAMAAGCGAAATTGCTGAATTTAGGACTAAGAGCAAAYTGAAGAGATTCAAGAGCTGCCATTTCATACAGAAAAAAACATWGTTTGGTGTGGTTTGTGGGCCGGTGGAATCAAAAAWGATGCACGTGGAAACGTAACCTYCAATGGCGACCGTTACCGCGCCATAATCGGCTATTTGATACCTGAATCAAAGCTTGTGAAGTTGGCGCAACTTCCCGCACATCGCATCAGTCAGTATATTTATTGAGTGAACACTTCGGTGAACAGATAATCTCACGTTTTGGGTCGGTCGTTTGGGCAGCGAGATCGTAAGATATTACATCGTTAGTCTTTTTTCTGTGGGGATATGTAAAGTGTCACCGACAGTTTTATCGAATGAGAGGCATTTGTTAGTCAACGAGCAAACGATGCAGTCGCAAGCAGGTAAATAAAAAGTATTTAGCATCTTTTAAAATAAATTTTGAATTCGTTCAATAATAATTTAAAATAAACAATTTGATATTCTTAAAGTCTTAAGTCTATGCGGACAATTCGGCTTTGATTCAGGCCTTGGAGCAAAACATCAGTCGAAATGCTTGAACGAGTCATCGAAAATTGAAATGGAAATCTGAGACGCATTCGGGACCAACATTTGGAAGAGGTGAAATTCATAAAATTAATGCCAAAAATGTTCTATCGAATGATAATAAATATATATTAGTATATATATACATATATATAGGACTTCGAAATGGACCAAATTTTACATACTTTTTCAGATAATTATAATAAATATTATATTATTGCAATGATTTGAGACCTCCTGTTCATTTTAACCATTAATTTTTCTGAATAAAGTGTATAGTCTAGTCCGTCAATTTGTTTACTACCGATAAGCTTTTTTGCAAGGAATTAACTATGAGTCGGAATTTAGTATAGTAGTAACTTTTTGAACCGTATTATCTGAGGAATTCATTTCAAGACATGATGTTTCACGGTTTTGTGGTATATAAAGTGCTGTTTTCTTTTGCGAAGGAATATGTAAAAAGTTAATAAATAGTCTTATATGTTCTATAGATATGTAACTATATTTTTATTTTCGTTAAATCTTCGAAAATATTGTAAGTGAGATAATTTATTACAGAAATCAGTGAAGCGCTGTAAATTCTTGGTTCAATATGTCTCACCAGGTGTAAAATATGCGAAAGACGCGCAGCGAAGTTGAAAATACAATATTGCAGTTTTCATATGTGCGAAAGATGGTTGCAAAGGAGAGCATAAAGCAGACGGAAACCAGTATGTAGGACTCACGCAGCGTTAAATACAATGCTGTCTTATTTAATTGTTGCACAGCAGAATTATTAAATATTCGTCGATAATGATGGCAGCCACTCTTTTTGACTCTCCAGCTGTGCGCAAAGGATATGAAATAAGGAAATGTGAAAGTTACAAGTATCGCTGTTTACACACATGCATACATACGTATTTGTTGTAATTATGTAAAGGATTAAGAATTTCTGGGAAAAATGAATTCAATATGAGGTAGTTGAAGGAATCAATAATAAAAATCGCAATTTGATGGGTTAGTGAACCGAAAAGACAAAAAGTTTGACGGAAAGGACGTTACAACACGGAAAGAGGTTAGGAGGGTAGTCTTAAAATGCGTTTATTTGAAGAGATAGAACATTAAATTAATAAGTTATATTAAAAAGTCTTACAGCAGTGTTTGAAGAACGCTTTTCTCTTTCCTGAGGTTTTGTTTGTTTGTATTAGGAGAGGCTTAGATCTTGAAATATATCAAATAAGGCGAGTACCCCTAACTTTGCGTAAATGGTGGTCAGATCAATATACTTCCACTATTGAGAAGTGGAACTCAGCATTTTAGTAGAGTCATCATAGGGCATTTACCCTTGTGGTCTCTCCTCAAGGAACTAGATAAGTCTTAGGAACATAGAATTTGCGAATGTTCCTTTTAGCAAAATGTGAAGCATTCGAGAAGAATTACGAAACTTTCAAGCCTTACTCGAAGAAGCCGATTTTATGCCAGCAAAATAACTATTGTTTATTCTAATATTTCTATTAGATACCTGACAAAGCGTTTCTTTTTTATAGTGCTCTAAAAGGTCTCATCTCATCAAATTTAATTCGAACTGGTCCAACATGTGAGTTTGACCTCCATATGTCAATTAGAGTGTGTATGATAGCTGTTTTTTACGACGAGAACTTCCACTCCGCTGGAAAGACCAGGTGGAGAAGGACCTGGCTTCGCTTGGAATTTCCAATTGGCGCCACGTTGCGAAAAGAAWAAACGACTGGCGGCTGTTRTTAACTTGGSTATAATCGCGTAATAAGTAAAGAAGAAGAWGCACAAATATAYRTTGTTAAGAGTAAAACACRCTCTTTTATTTTCATTGAGATAACTCACATACATATTTGGGGGCTAAGGAAAGTATTGAACTGGTTCAAGCCATTTCTGTCACACAGATATATAAGTTAGTTTGGGCCGTGGTTATAGCCCGATTTTGCTCAATTTCACACTCTAACATAGGAATCTCAAAGGAATGCTATGTGCTGAATTTGGTTGAAATCAGTCGAGCAGGTCCCAAGTTATGCGGATTTTTTAACGGTAGGCGACGCGGCGCCCTCTGTAAAATTTTGACTTGGAAGGTGATACAAATAACCGTCAGTCCGAGTCTTATTTCATCAAATAGTAATTATACCATAGCTTTAAGTCGAGACTCAATGGTTGCCGGACTTTGTCAGACGTTTTTTCACAGTAGTAATAGGTTTGGAAGTTAGCCATTTCTTGCTGTGGGAAGACCGTTATGTGAAAATATGTATTTTGGAAGATCTAGGACTGTCTTTTACGTTAGTAAACATCTGGAACTATTACATCTTTAATACTATTACAAACATAACATGGTAATATGCATTTCGTTTTGTTCCATGGCAGCGTTGAAATGGTTACATGGGTTTATGGTTGAGCACTTGAGCGCTCAAGGCTAGCTAACCTGTGTGTTTGAAGTCGGTTGGCAAGATTTCTCAAGAACTACTCAACCAATCTTCATGAAATTTTACAYAGTTAATTGGGATACAATTCTTAAAGACTTGGTCGAAGAATTTTTTTGATCACAGCCATTTGAAAAAAAAAAAATATCGCGAAATTTTCACTGACATTTTAAATTTTTTGAAAAATGTCTGTCAAAAGCCAATTTTCTGTTTTTTCTTCCTTTGTCCAAGTTTTAACTTAAGGTTTTAACTAAAACTCGTTTTTTTCACTTCAGCTGTTCCTGTAAGGGGTTATCCTGCTAATTCGTGCGCATTTTTTTCCGAGGGGCACCGGAAATGACGTCGCATTGGCGGAGTTTAAAATATTTTTTTTTTCTAAGTAACAGAATTTGTTTGCTAATAGTGTATGTTTGCAACAATAAAAAATTCTAATAAAATATTTAATTATTTATACGAGTGAACCCGTGAGTTTACCCGAGGCATGTAAMCTCTTAAAGTAACAAAAAAATTTTAAATAAGGGTTTTCCTTGTGTCTTGCAGAACTACTTAAATAGTGAAAATTGTCTCTCTATTTCTAGAATATTTAATGATTTGTACTCGCAGCGCTTCATTTCTATTCACGCCGGCAGCAGCGCTCAGATTAACTCAATCATTGCTTAAGTGTGATCACGTGTTGATATTTGAGTCACGTCATATTACAGTTAATTCAAATATTAACACTCGATGAAATGCTATAATGTTTGTGCAGCGTCGATAAGTATGCGTAAGAGTATTTGTTGTTCATATGAATTGTCGCTCGAGTCGTTTCGATGACACTCCGAATGCAACGATTGAATAGCACGACTGTGTACATGAACATAGGTGTGTGTGTGTGTGTGTGTGTGAGTACACGTTCCATCGAACTGATTTCATTTATTCTGCTG